GACCATTGACCTCGCATCCCTACAAAGCCGGGACGGAGCACGCCGGGTTCCCACCGGACCAGGCTCCCGGCGTACTCCGTCCTGGCTTTGTAGGGATGCGAGGTCAATGGTCCAACGACTACGGCACGCACGACTATGAGACTCCCACCCTCGTTCGTCCCCGTAGGATTCTGCTGGCCTCGAGCCTTGTTGCCACCAACGCCGACCACGTAGCCACCCAGGTATGTAGCCTTGCTCTTCAGTCGCGGGAGCAATTTACTCTCCACCCCCGCCCCCCTCCGCCTCCCTTGCCCCAATCTTTCGAGCTGTGTACCCCCTGATTAATTGTGTCGGGTACATATGTATGGTTGTGGTAGTGCTTGCCGAAGGTATCGAGCACACACCGTCCGGTCGGGATCTCTCCCGATATCTGTTTTTCCTCACATGGCTGGAATTGTCTCCCGGCGACAAAAAGAAAAATCGGTGTTTTTCGGGTATGTACACAACGCAGGCACGGAAGCCCCCCAACGCCAACCTATCCGTGGCTTTTTTTCGGGTACATTGAGTAGATGCACCTTCGTGTAATAATAATCGAAGGCAAGCAGGTGGGCACGGGGGCGTCGGGAGGAAGGGCCCTTCTGTGTGGCCACGGATTCGAGCCACCTTCTATCCCGCGGAAGCGCTGATATATAGGGATGGATATCAAATACAAGCAACGTTAGTGCAACGCCATGCTTCGATTGTTTTCCCTCGCGCAGATTCTCTTCACCCGTTGCCGTAGGGACTTTTTTTTTCGACGGTGCCCTCTCTCTCGCGCGCACATTCCCTTCTCCCTGTGCCCTAGTGACGCTATTTTTCGACGGTGTGCTCGCTCTCTCGCTCGCAGATCCTCTTCACCCTGTGCGACCACTACCAAAGCGTGCGGAGGGCGGTGGTGACGATGCAGCTGGAGGTTGCCCAGAGGATCGTGGCCAAGTCCTCGACCAAGCAGTACGGGATCCTGAGCGTGGTGTTCCAGCTGTACGCGAGGCCGCAGGTCCTCTTCCAGATCCCCCCGACCGTGTTCTACCCCCAGCCCAGCGTTACCTCGGCGCTGATCAGCCTCGACTTTACGGGTGAGGAGGGGGGGTAGCGGAAGGTGGTATGTGTGTGTGTGTGTGTGTGTGTGTGTGTGTGTGTGTGTGTGTGTGCGTGCGTGTTTTTGTGTTTTTTTGGTAGCATTGACCGCGCTGACCAATGAAAAGCCGCCGGTCTCAGTGCGGTTGAAAACACCAGAATGTTTCTCAAGGCTTACTATGGTCTGGGGCCCCGTATGGGGCTAGTGTGTGTGTGCGTGTCCTTTGTGTGCGAGAGAGAGCGACAAATTGCCCCGCCCATCCTTGGAGTCAAAGCACGACCATCTGTCTGCACGCAAAAACTCATGCCATCATCAACAACACCAATGCTACCACCACCTCTGCTCTACAAATTTGCTCACGAACACAACGACACCTGTATCACTGCGCCGTCTTAGCATTTTTCCTCACAAACAACACCTGCGTCACCGCGCCTCCCTCCCCATACACGCCGCGCCGTTTTCGGTTTCCAGGCAAGGGGCCTGGGGTTAATCAGGCGTGCCTCAAGAGCGTGCTGTCGTCCGCGTTCCAGCAGCGGCGCAAGATGCTGCGGCAGAGCCTGAAGCCCCTGCTGAGGGCAGGACAAACCCTGCCGGAGGAGTTCGCCACGAGGAGGCCAGAGCAGGTGATCTGAGGGCGCGAGGCTCTTTTGTTTTTAAGAATGTGTAAATTTTTTGAAACCAAGCAAACCACCGGTTTGCTCGAAGGTTAGAATGAAAGTATATTTTCGAGACCTACATGCATACCAGAGAGTGAAAAAGGGCCTGCGGCCCTGCGGGGTCGCTGAATTTTCGAAAATATTCTCTCAGCGCAGGATCCGCGGGGGCCAATCTGCGGCTTGCCGCAAGAAAAAATTTGGGCCGCATCTTTTCGCGGTTACGTTAAAAAACATTATGCGGCCCTCGTCTGTCGCCGAAACTTTTTTCCTGGGGGCTTTTTTGTGCTGGAAAGAGACATATCCTGCCATTAAAACACGTAAAAAACAACACAGTATTTGACACTTTTCGCTATTGTTGGTTGATTTTTTACGGAAACGCCCACTTTTTTCCCTCCGCGGGCGCCTCCGGGGAGGTTCCTGCGCGGGCGGCGTCCTCCGGTGGCCCTCGCGGGGGGCCGCATCTCGCCTTCGGCTCGGGTCTGCGCAACGGAGTTTTTTACTCCCTGACTAATACCACTCCGTGAGAAATTTTTTTGCATGGCATGTGTTGTATTTTTTTGTTATTTTTTGCGTCTGCATAGTGTCCGTCGATAGACACGTGTTCTGTTCCCCGCGCCCGCTCATTGCCGTCGACGTCGTCTTTTTTCTAACCACCACCGTCGTCGTTACTTTCCCGTCTCGAATACAGCTGGAACCTCAGGAGTTTGTCGAGCTCACGAGGGCCGTTTTCGGCGACAGCGCCGAGCTCCCCCAGGGAACCAAGGCGTGGAGAGGAATGCGCGGTAGCGGAGTAGGCGGGGGGGTTGGGGCGGGGGGGGG